ATTGCTAAGAGCTACAATGGATAGGAAGTTGTGGAAATCTCAAATCCTGAAGTGACATGGCATATAGAATAATGATTGGCTTCCTTTTCTTTATTAGAAACCAGTAATATTTAAATGAGAATGTTACGTAGTAAAATAAAAACAAATGGCTGGAAAATATATATGTTTTGTTGCTGCCATTCCAGTTGTCTGTTACCCCATCTGTGGTCATGTCTGTCCGATCTTCCAGTCTTCAATAAAAATGGAAGTGTTCACTTTGACAGTGATTGTTCAAATGTGACAAACTGGATTAATTTAAGGCTGGTTATGCATGTCCACTTCTGAAACAAAAAAGAAAAATTAAAAGTCATAAAAATATTTTATGAACAATCAGAAAAGATCCACGCATCTTCAACTAGCAGCTTGTTTTCAAGCCACTCCAACACTATATAAACAGCCATCAATTCAACTCCACATCTCAACCAAGCTACTATAGTCATTTGCTTATCCTGTAGAGGGTTGGTATTTGACTTTGTGCTGCTAACAGAAGTAGAATGTTGATGGACTGCAATGAATAAAACAAAGACTTGATTAGAAAATACCTGGCCAATGTTTATTGATGCATGCAGGTACAAGATGCAGAGGTATAGAGAATAGTTGACCTCAGGTCATCTGGACATTGACTGAGGATGACTGAATGGCTACCAAACATATCCAAACTCAATGTTTTGGAAGTGAGAAGAGAATGATCATCTCCATTCCAGAAGTGGGGTCATAAAATTCACATGTGACTGGAAACCGTTTTTTGGTTTCCTTTTGCATTATGGGAAAATTAAATTCTTTTTTTTTAATTATTTTTATTTATTATTTTATTTATTAGTTCATTTTCATTCTCGCACAATACATCCCCACCCAGAAGTGAAGCTGTATAAATACATCATTTACTAGAAATATATGTGAAATGTCAATTTCTGTTGCTGATCAGCTGGATGGCAATTAGGTATAAGAGTAGCGTCAGCAGTTGACCTATTTCTCTTGCGTTGGTTTGACCAATGTCTCAGGATATAGTTATTTGTACATGTTGGTCGGTTAAGGTGATGGTGTTGGGTCAATTTGTATTAAGGTGTGTTGGTTGTCAAGATGACAAGGGATTGGCAAAGCTGGTAGACCTGTTCTTTGAAATGGGGTTGTGGCGATGACTGCAAAAGGAATGCTTGTAGTGATTCAGGTATGATGAGATGACAAGGTTGGTGTCGCTGGTTGGCCAGTGTTCTATGAAACTGGGAGCCCAAGTGGGTTGCTGAGTCACTTGCTTGCTTGCAGGTTTGTGTTTCTACAAAATGTTGGTTGTTTTGTGTGTTCAACAGGTTGTTTAGGTTGTTCAGTGAGTGATTGTATAGGATGTTGCTTGCTGTGGTTTTGTAGTGTCACTGGTCTTAATCTCTCAGTAGAGACTGTGCAGTGTTTTTTGGGGGGAATTTTCTGTTATAAAGTATTTTTCATGTCTGGCAATTACTTTGTAGTATCCAGAATAAGGAGGATTGCTTAACTGAGTGAAACTATCCTTCATAAAGGAGTGATATGTTCAGTGTAGTCATCTCTTCAGAAAATTGTTTTATGTATTTTTTTTGTAACAGTAGAACTGTTATGTTCTATTAGTGGTCTTAGAAGTAATAATTACGTTCCAGTGATGGCAGGGGAAATATCTTCATTAGGTACATTTCTCATTTTGCTAACCAGCCATTCAAAGCTGTTTGCATAAATTCAGGAATTTTAACTGAAGGTAGTATGCTGTCTTGTTCCATTTCAACCATTTGTGATGGCAAGGCTGACAGTTAAAGAAAATGTCTGTTTTACATTTTTTTTTTACATACATGTGGTAAAGCAAATATTCATAATTTTTTTTACATGCACGTGGCAATGCAAATATTCACAATTTCTGATTTTTTGTGAACACATGTGGTAAGGCAAATATTCAAATTTTTTTTAAAGCATGTGTTGAAAAATTTTTTGCTGACTTGAAGACAATCTTGTCCAGATCATTGTATGTCATGTAGAGATTTAAAACTTGCAATTTTGCTCTCTACATCAGGTTTAATCACAAATTTGTAAGAGTAAATTTTTATTTTTATTGAAAGATTTGTTTTTGTGTCCATGTGCATGGTATGGTAGATAGGGAAGTTGGTTGACTTACTTTTTCACTGGCTCTCGGTTTTAAAAAAGTGTCTATAATTAAGTTATAGTTCTACATGTTCATATTGTGTTGTGGTCATCAACTGTGGAGGGTTGGTATTTGATTTTGTGCTGCTAACAGAAGGTGAATGTCAGTGGACCTCAATAAACAAAACTAAGACTTGATTAGAAAATGACTGGCCAATGTTTATTGACACATGTAGGTACAAGATGCAGAGGTATAGAGAATAGTTGACCTCAAGTCAGCCTGACACTGAGTGAGGGTCACTGAATTTCCGGCTAGTTGGGATGGATACTAAACACACTCAAACTCAGTGGTTGGAAAGTGAGAAGAGAACAATCATCTCCTTTCCGGAAGTGGGGTCATAAAATTCACATGTGACTGGAGAACCTTTTTGCTTTCCTTTTGTATTTTGGGAAAATTAAATTTTTTTTTTTATTATTTTTTTATTATTAATTTTTTTATTTTATCTATTAGTTTATTTTTATTCTCCCACAATCACAACACTCATTCCTTTTCTGCTAGCCTGAGTGTTATGGTACCCTAAACAACACACTCAAGCAAACTACTTTCACTTTGATAGTCTCTATTAATAAGAATGTGTCATGATTTCTATGAGGTCAGGGTTCAATTTCTGCCATATGATACTTGATAGAGTGATCATTGAAGAAGTGGCATCTGGTATCTAATTTGATGTTGTTCTAATACTACATGTTCAGAAACCATTATCATAGCATCAATGATTATATCCATGTTATTTGATGAATAGGAAACTCCAGGGAATACAGTGAACACTGGGTCTTGGACATAAGCAAATATTTCTCATTGAAAATTTGATTTTTTTAGTGATAAAACTCTTTCAACAAAACAACCAAATTATATAATATGGAAATTCAAAACTTATTAATTATTGATTATTTAATTATTATAACTTTAATATACATAGAGTATAAAATTGATATATTGAATAACTTAGAATAATATATTACTATATAAAGCTAGAGAACAGTGCTTCTCCGTCAATACTGAGTATTGGGACCACAGCCTCACCATGTTAAGTACCAACCAGTTTTAAATTCAGAGTTATCCTTGGTTGCCAACCAAGGCTAAAGAGCCAAGTCTGCCATATTAATTAAGAAAGAAATGGAGAAATAAGAGGAAATTGAATGTCCTTTCCCAAAATTATTTGAACATATTTATGTGAAATATGAACATGTTGATCTAGTTTTTTCCCTGATAACCACTATGCTATGCACATATCCATATTTCCATATAGTTTATCTTCTTCTTCTTCTTCTTCTTCTTCTTCTTCTTCTTCTTCTTCTATGTGGTGTGTACTTTTCAGGACATGGGCGATCATGGCTCTCCACTACTTTCAGTACTTTGTAGCTCTTAGCAATGTTTGTCTTTTTATAATCCCTCTCACTCCTTGTTCTGCCATCCATTTACACAAGGTTGTTAGATAGGTTGATCATGGCTCTCCACTACTTCTTATCCTTTGTAACTCTTAGCAATGTCTGTCACTGTTTTTCTCTCTCTTCATTCAACATGTCATATGAGTGTCAAATTTTCAGGACTTCTTTCCTCAATATGTGTCCTAGAAGTTTCAACTGTTTCTTTCTGATTCCAAATATTTTGTTTCAATTTCTGTTAAAACTTCCTTCTTAATCACATGATCTGTCCATGTTATTCAAGACATCCTACTGTAGAACCACATTTTTGTTGCCTCAAGCCTCCTCTTCATCTGGAAGGAAATTGGTCAGCATTCACTGCTATACAGGAAGAGTGATATTATTACATAGCAATTGAATATTAAATATATGATGAAGTATATATTACATTTTATGTTTATGATATATATATTATAAATCAACTGTCACAGAGCATTGATTAGTAAGCTAGAATCATTGACCATTGTTGCGATGATGTACTCAGTCCTCACTATTGTATTTCTGTATTGTATTAAGTTTAACTTCTAAATATGAAGAGATGTTTTGCCATAAAAATAATAATTAACATTCTATTCTTACAGATTATTGTTAGTTTAGTGACTTTCTTACTAAATGCTCTACTATTGTGGCCATGTGCCACACTAAGATAAATAGACTAAGGGACTTTATATTATTTTCTAAATCTAATTTAAGAGGATTCATATAACTAATTTCAAAGCAGCTGGATAATATTCTTTACTGTTACCCAGCGGTCATCTCCAGACAGAAAGGGAAATTAGCAGTCATCATTGATGTTCAGTTCAGTTTCATTCAAATTATGTGTTGTTTGTGTGCACATATATATTTTAATTCAATGACAGATCTAAGAATATTTAGACAATTTTTTTTAAAAAAGCTTTAAAAATATTAACAAATAATTTGCAAAAAGTTCAATAAAATCTTAAAATTATCTGATTTTTAGAATTTAAAAATTATTTTTTTCTTGTCAATTATTTTTTTTATTTGTTGATCAGTTTTATTGCTCAGTCCAGGGAAGGGTTTTTCCAGACTGAGTGGGAGGGGATGTATTATTCTAATGCCTTATTTCAAACTCAGTCAAATTGTGTGTGTACATGTATGTGTACATTAAATGGCACAAGCAAAAATATTGATTGAGTGATTGATTTATTTTCTACGGCTTATAAATAACCTTTGCAGGTTATTTAAAGCTGGATGTTCTTTTGATTTTTCTTTTTTGAAGATGATAATAGTTTAGTGATACAAGTTTTGCTAATCAACTTATAGCTGGGAGAAGAGGTTGATTCATACCTTTTCCAAGGTTATTTGTGCATACAATTTAACAAGTCTTTATCCATTACACCACCTGCACACCCAAGCTTACAGCACCTGGTATTTACAAGCAGTCACCCATCTAGATGCTAACCAGGCTTGACATTGCTTAACTTCTGTGAGCATACGGGAACCAGTGTTTCAATATGGTATGACCTGTAAGCCACAAGCACATTTAAATCAATCACACACAACAGAGATATATGTATATAAATTACTTATGTTCATGCAAATTCATATGCATATGGTATGTGACTGATTGTCCATCTTGGTACTGACCAGGCTTGACATTGCTTAACTTTGGTGACCATACAGAAACCAGTGTTTGAATGTGATATGTCAGTAAATCAGGCACAGCACAGATATATATATATATATATAATTTGCATATGTACATGCAAAATCATATGCACACAGCATGTGATGATCAGAGAATCAGTAGTCGCTGATCTAGGAAGTGACCAGGCTCAACATTGCTTAACTTCAGTGATGGACAGAGAATCAGCTCTTCTTTTGTAATATAGATTTGTATAATTTGTTTTTTCAAAGAAGTTGAAATTTTGGGTGACAAAAATCTACACAAAATTATTTAAATGATCTCATTGTTACTATTTGAGTTTGTACGAACAACCTTACCCTTTTAGTTTCAAAGTTAAATGCATTAAAAAATAGGGACATTTTTTTAAAGTTCTAAATCATTCCATATTTTTTCATTTTCTTTTTCTACAAACAGTAAATACATTAAAATAAAAGAACGTCTTGTCTGTCTTTTGCTAATTGCTCTAATAATAGGAAGAATACAAATTATGTTATTCAACAAATTCTTTGTTCATCCCCCAATAATTTTCCAAATACATTATTACATTATATGCGTAAAAGCTTAAAAAGTATCAGTATACGACATGATATATAAAACAATAAAACATATGAACAAGATATTTGTAAAATAATGCCAAATGTCAAACACATGGCATTTTTTGTACTGTAAGACAGATGACATGCATTCTTCAAAAAGCTAAACAATTTTTAATTTTAGATTTATTTCAGACTAAAAGTGATGTAAAATTAACCAGAAAATATCTTGCTATGTCAAAGCCTGCCAAACATTCCAGCTTTGTCTAAGGAATTTGCAGAACTAATTAAATACATCATGAACAGAAGCAATAATACCCTCATTACATTTCACACTATAATTAACAAAGATAAAAAAATAAGAGGGAGCATTCATTGAAGCCCACCTTATGATAGAAAAAGAGGAAAAAATCAGAATCAAGAACAGATAATGATATAGGTTAAGCTAAGTAACCATCAGAAAGGAGGAGAAAAAAGAAGAAATTCTTTCTCTCTTCTCTTTTCTCTCCCTGGAGGCTATGAGCAAAACATCTATTGTCATTATTATAGTTTTGTTTTGTTTCAGAATATGTCTAACTGCCATCTGCACAAAGTCCCAGTTGCACAAAATAGTGGCAATGTCCTCATTAGAAAAGCTTTAAAAATATGTTATTGCTAATGTCAATGTTGATATTATCTACGAGTTTGTTTCACGCAAGTTGATGAGTAGGAAGAGGAAAATTGTTGAATACTTTATTTTTAAACATAATGTATAACTTTTAATCAAAATCTCTTCATTATTTGAATCTGACCCTTTCCAAAATGGTTTCTCATAAAAAAAATTACAAGGAGCAACATTTCAGTAAGTTAATCAATTCACTTTTAGAGAAATTTCTTTGTTGAAAAGTAAATAAAAAAAAAAAATGTTATTCTAAAGCTGAAAAAAAATTTAGCCCAACCCACTTCTCAAAATCTTTCCAAACATCAAAATTATTTTTTTAGAATCCCTTCTTGATGTGGGCTGAAAACTTTTCAGCAACAAATTTTGATGGTGTAGGAAATTCTGTTGTTCAGGTTTTTTATATTAAAAATCCAAACATCTGATTTCAAACAATGATAAAATGGAAATAAAGAAAACATGGTTACACCTGTAAAATAAATCATAAACTTTTAGTAGGTGATACACAGTAAAAATCTATGGCTGAGAAAATACTTGGTCATCAGCAAAGATTCACTGACCAATTCTGCTCTTGTTGCAGATGCTTCATTTTTAGTTGCTGACACATGTTTCTTTCAGCACATGCTGGGGAGCAGGGAGAAAAAAAAAGCTATGTAGTCACATCTTCTTTTATGTTTGATCAGCTAAGAGACAATTGCATTCACTGATTTTGAAAGTTAAAATCTGTGGGATTTTATTAAAAATATGTAGTGGAAGTAGGTTTGAGAAAAATAGGGTTTTAGTTCTTGCTGATTAGTCAAATATTTTCCATTGCAATGTTAATCTCTAACCAATAGACACTTTGATTTAAACAGTGTCTGTTTTATTGTGGAATGTTTTTGGCATGTTTGTAAATATTGTCTGTTGTTGGGTAGAAAATACAGTTTGGGCATGTTTTAATATTGTATGTGTGTGGGTATGTAATTGTGTTGAAAATAGGGTTTATTTCTGATAATGGTATGTGTTAATTCTTAAAAAAGAAATTTAAATTGTTGTAGATGATTTGTTTGATGTTGCCAAAACATGTTTCTTTTAGCATACACTGGGGAGTGGTGGAGGAAAAAGCTATGTAGCCACATCTTTTCTTGTGTTTGAACATCTTAGATGGTCACATCTCTGCTCTTAAAAGTTGAAATCTGTGGGTTTTGCAAGAAATCTTTCCAATAAGTAGGCTTGAGTGTTTTAGTTTTCTCTGATTGGCCAAATTATTTCCCATGATGATCTTAATTTATAAACAATAGTGGGTTAGAATTGTTTTGAAAATAGGCATTATTTCCTACAATGGTATGTGTTAATTCTTAAAAAGAAAATTTAAAAGAAGCATAATCCTAATAATGGTATCCTGAGCAACTTCTTTAAAATTCAAACATCCCTTAATTTTAGGTGTGATATTGAAAAAGAAAACATTTAAATAGAATAATTTGATTTACTTTCATTGGAGCTACACTGATAATTTTTTTTTTAAATTTTAAAAATATTTGTCTTATACTGATGCTTGAAACTTTTAGTTAAGTAACTAATTTCATTCATTTCCATTACATTTACTTTTGTAACATATTTTAAAGAAATTTTAAAATCATTTAAATCTTTGTTTAGTTTTTAAAAAATAGATAAAATTCATTTACACTTGTAGCTACACTGCAACATTTGTTAATTTAAGTCATATTTTGAAATTTTGTTTACTGATAATGCGTTTAATAGACTAATCTAATTCATTTTCTTTTGTAACTACTGTTGTGGGAATGGCATAGGTATTTTCATTTTATGCTTCCCAGTATATTTGTCCCACAAACAATATTTGGTGGACTCATGTGGGTCTGGGTAAAAAAAAAGGACACAAAACATGGAATTCAAATAAGCAACAATTAATAAATGTATTAACAAGACATGTTACAGAAGGATAAAGGAAGAAACAAAGTTGAATTTATAAGCAGTTCAATACAATCTTTAGTCTGTGTAATTGAAATACTTACATGCTTCATGTCTATAGAAGTGAAAGGAAAAGTGTGTTGTCACTCCAAAAGTCAAGTGGAAAAGAGGAAGAGCTTTTCAAATATTGCACCACCTGTGAATATTGCCAGGGAGCAGTAATCCAAACACTACCTTTTAACATAATATCAGCAAATTTTAACATTTAAATCTCAAATTAGATTTTGAAAAGATAAACAAATTTCAATTTCTTCTTGCATTTACACTGGGACATTTGTTAATTTAAAAGTTTTTTTTCAGTCATATTTTGATTTTTGAAACTTTTGCTTCTCACAGGTTTAATAAACTAATTACATTCACTTGCTTTGTATTAACCCTTCAACATTTTTAAAGAAATTTAAAAAAGCATTTAACACTTATTTTGAGGTTTTAAATTTTTGGTATAATTTTTGGTATGTCAGATTCTTTCACATGAAATAAGTGATTGGGAATAATTAAAGAAACATAATTTTAAATGTAATGTTCTGTCTTTTAATTAAAATCTTCTTTTTCTGATTCTGTGAGACTTTCCCAATGGCTTTGTTATAAAAAAACCAGTTGTCTATTTTTTATAAAACTCTACTATCTGGTAACAGAGACAGGGGAATCCTATACTCTGTACATTTTCTCTTCTTTAAATTGATAGTTAGTCCTTTCTTCTCACTTTCCTTTACTACCTTGTCTAGAAGTAAATGTCATTTTCTTTCTGTATCTAAACATAGTGTCATTTAAGTATCTTCTCTTGTTAAGATTGTGTCCAACAATAATAAATCTTGGTAGAACTTCTGGTTCACTTAAGATCACAAAAACTCAGCCAAAATCTAACAATAATGAGGCACTATATTCTACACTGGAGCCTTTCAGGTTAACATGCACAATACATAAAAGACAAAAATCTGCTCTCTTTGATTCTGTGAAACTTTCTCAACAGATTTTTAATAAAAATATCCCATCTTTATTATAAAACCCTCTACTTTTAGAGGCTTCTGTCTTCCTGAATCGTGTTCTTTTATTGTACTTTCTCCTCACTAGTCTTCTCATTCTCTTTCAATCCCAGTAACCCCTTGCATTTTAGTGGCATTATTGCCTTGCTTGGGATAAAATGATTTTAAAAAAAATATTGTTTCACATCAAGTAATTTAAGAAAAATATGTCTTTTATTTTTTTAATAATTTCACCCCAAGCAAGGCAATAAAGTCACTAAGATGCAATAGATTACTGAGTATAAGGGAATATGAAAAAAAGAAAACATTATTAAAGAGAGAGAACAATAAAAGAACAGGAATTAAGAAGACGATAATGATTGACATTGCTTTTAAAGTTTTTATGATCAAAGTTGACTGGGAAGCAAGAAGCCAAAAGAGAGTTTCATAAGTGAGAAGAGTGAAAGAAGAAACTGTTACAGTTATATCTAGCCATTTCAACTGTAAAATGATGAGACCTAGCTGCCAATCTAGTATGGCACTTAAATTCATAAAGTATAGGTACTAAAGAGGAGAGTTCATCAGAACAATTACCACAAAAATATTTCTAGAATATACACAGAGAAGCTATTATGGCTGTAGAAAAGTGATTGAAGCCAAGATGCCAGGTGGAGACCAATAACATTGAAGATTTTTGTTTGTATTTTATCAAGAATG